ATCAAAGGAGGAAAGAATGAGAATCTTGTGGACTCACCCGAATTTCTGCTTCGTCCATACTTCTAGCCGAGACGGATTCGCTTTCCTCCGGTTGACTTTCGTCTCCTTCGCTAGGACCGCCTCCCACGAAGCGTGACTGATCCGCTTCAAGTGATTGACGAATCAGCTGAGCGACTTCAGACTCGTCCAAATTCGGTTCTCGGCCTGAAACGAGTTGCAAGTTCGCATGCGTGGCGCAATCCAGATATTGGAAACAAGGGTTTTATTATTTCAACCCTTGAGCCTACTTGGTAATTCAACCCAACAACTAAAAGAAAATAGGTAACTGATGACAAGAATTGAATCGAATATTCATATAAAAAACACGTCAACTGACCAATAGTGAATAAAACCCGATTTGACGTAGCCCTAAGAGTTTCAGCCGCGTAGAGCTGACTAACTCCGACAAGGCTTTTGCCATCGACTGACACAATCTGATCACAAACTCGTACACGACCATCCCTGGAACACAAAGAATGAGTTTCAGCAATCTTGAAACCTATTTGATCAGTTTCAGAGCTTAAAATTCGCAGGATTAAAAAGAATCACCTGTGTACTGCTCCGCCGGGTGTGATATTTTTCACAAAGATGCCCAACTTTTCCAAGCCTGAATCAGCTCCTACGCCCATACCTAAATTTATAGATAGATAAGCTTAACAAGTACGAAGTGAAATATGACTAAATTTCAAATAATTAGTTTCAATAAACCCACAAGCCCAAAAAGGTGCACATAGCATTCGAAAAAAAGTTGAATATTTTAGTTTAGCTGTATAATCCAAACAGCCCATGCCAAACCGCCCTACCAGGATAATGCCTCCCACTGTCGAAAGGGGACTTAGGGATCCGAAACGTTTCAACGCCTCGGAAAAGTCACGTGAACGAAAGAAAACCCCACGGCCTTGATGCGACCGAAACTGTTAAGCCCTGGACCATGAAGAGCTGGAGTTGGTTGAGGTAGGCAGAATTCCTGCTTGAGGCAGGACAAAGAATACAATGAAGATTCGTTTCACATAAAGACCGGTGCTTATTGAGTTGGGGCAGGGTCAATCTTATATTGCGACAAGTACCATCGCAGGGTGGGGGGCGTATTTTTTTTGAGTTTGTAGGTGGCGGGGGGGGTCGTATTCGATGTAATTTCAGAATTGATTGGTGAGTTTAGGGCGCGTAGTGTGAAGGAGTGGGAAGGAAAAACTTTCGACGGCTGTTTTGAGGGGAAAGTGGGTAGAGTTAGGTGTGTCGAGTGATCTCAGAATTAAACACTATAGAAACAGCGACCATGATGGCGAGGGTGGTGAAGGGGTCGTCGAAAATTTCGTGAAAAGTCGCAACGGGGTTGACGGACTCTGTTGAGGACTATTCGACGCCACGGAGTGCGCGGCATGTCAGGTTTCGCAGCATAAACGGGTTCCGGAGCCAGGGAAATTCGGCCAGCTCATAGCGCGGAGGAGGGGAAGGAAAGAGAGGCGAGCCACGACATGCTGAAAAGCTGAGATTCGCGAGTTCACACCTATAAATCCCAGCGAGGTTGCGAGCACTCGCATGCTGCGGCGACGAACTGTCCCCTCGCCAACTCACCCCCAAACACCTGAGAAAAATGAATCGGAATCTCTCCGTCTCTAAACAAGATAATGGAGTTCAACAAACCACCAAAAATGCTTGTTGACTCAGCTATAATAGACACCAAAGTCCTCGGACCCTTTCCAGCATCAAACAAAGAAAGATTCCATACGCTCGAGACGCCTCTCGAGTTCATACTCTGCACAGCTGGCCACGGGATCAATGTCGTCGTTCTTGCGATCGTACTCGTCTACCGAATGCGTACAGTACACCTGAAATCCGTGCAGGACTTTAGAAAGATTGCAAATTCCCCATAAAACACACATGAAAGCCACCAGTTTCCCTTCAAAGACAACAACATGCAATAGTTAGTCAAGAAAAGAGACTTTATGAACTGAAGTTAGGACTAACAGGTATCGGTGCGGTGCTGAAGGAGACCTTTCTGTCACGATCAAGCGGATCCCGTTCAGGGCTCAGTCCTCGTCGCGTTTCCAGCACTCGTGGCGCCATACCGCCATTATCGACCACATTTCGATGGTTGTTCTGACGATGATTATCGTCGTCGGATCCACCGCTTCTGATGCGTTCATCGTCTTCCTCGGCGTCGTCGTCTTCGTCGACGTCGCGACGAGTCTTCACCAACGCGTAAGTTGTGTGCCGCATCGATGACTGGGCATCCGAGTCCAAGACGCCGTTTTCCTCGCGATCGTCACAGAATCTTAAACAAGAAAAATCGGCATAAGTTCAAGAAATTGGGTACCAATCCGAAAAAAAATGATGCCAGTCTCCAGAAAAAAAGGAAAATCTGAGCAGGACAAAAAGTCAAATATTATTCCTAACAAGAATTTCAAATGATAAGATAGAGTATCCAAAGTAGAAAAAACGCCTTGGGCCATCATAAACATAAACTGCGCTACATATTTGAGGTGGCTGTCACATGCGAGAGTTAAGTAAGCTCAATCGATGAGGAGGTTCAAGATTTATGCTTTTAAATTGTTCTACTGCCAACTCGACCGTCCCAGAGGTATGAGATAAGTAGGTCAAGTATAAGTGCTTCTACCACCGGAGTACCCAGAACTCTTTGAAAAAAGCGAACGAGGGATGACTCGAAGAACTACAAAAAACCTGAAGAGGAACCTACAAAACCTCCTTGAAGGAGAGGAGGGTCGATTTATGTCATATTTTTGCGGAAGCAGTGGCTGACCCTGGATGCAGGGTTTTTGGCCAAGATGGGATTGGGGATTCTTCTGGCCAGGATGGGATTGGTGTTTTTTTGGGCATGGTTGATCGCCAGAAAAATAAAGGTGGGATTCGGCACTTCTATTCCGTGCTAAGATCAGAGTTTCATATCTTTTGCCAAAGGGTTTCTAGGTAGAGACTTTATTGAAGGTCTGACGTTTTGACCAAATCGTCTTCTTCAAAGGACCAGACTCCCACTGCGAAAGCGGAATAACACCACCTCCTTAGTAATGCTTAGTTTTTTACCAACCATTTTAGCCGGCCATCATTAAAGTTCCCACCTAAAAACCGATGGGAGAAGAAAAAACTAATCCTAAAAACGATGGCTCTACTCTACGGGAGAAGAAAATGGAGTTTTCTATGCAGCGCGTGGTTATGCTGCAAAAAATGTGGCGGGAGAAAATTCGTGTGTTTCGTTCCTCGATCCAGATGGCCCGATCTGCAGAAACTAAACCGGGACTGCTCCAACAGCAGACAGCGCAGCAACGCTAACCAAGACGTAATTTGGGCTAGGGATGGATACTGATAGCGGGGACCATTATGAGGAAGATCTTCCGAAGGACCGAAATACTGCTCCACGACAATGGGTACAGGACAGTGGCTCCAATACCCTCCTTGCAAGAGCAGGTGTCAGTGATGCGAGAAACACCCAACTGGTCACTTCAAAGGCATAGAAGAGTTATAGGTAAACCCCATGGAATGATCAAGGCTTTTCACTATGGCACTAGTATCACCACAATTCCCTTGAGCACCACAGCGCTTCTCCGAACCATCTCTCGCGATTTCACCAAGACAGCCTAAACGGCTACATGAGCCGCAAAAGTCTGCCCAAGGTAGCCGATACCCCATACCGAAGGGAAATGTAAACCGCTACCAGCATTCTAAAAGGTTCCACTGTTCCATTTCCAACTATACTCCCACCCACCAGTCCCTGTATTTACCCGATACACATGCCAATTTCCCACTGCTATCCCACGAAGGTCAAATACGTGGCGCACACCAAAGCGATTGGTGAACGCTGGACTCCTCACCGACACAGTCTTTAATGTGGTGATCAGTAAAGAGAATTGGA